GCTCTCTCTATGTCTCTTTGTATCTATCTCTGCTCCCCGCAGGCGGCAGGGAGGAGAGGAGGCCGTTCGGAGAAGGGACGTGCATGAGGGCTCACGCTTATGCATGCGCAAAGTCCGCGCCGATAGCGAGTTTGACACTGCGATTGGCAATAATTAACCCTCTGTGTGTGTGTGTGTGTGTGTTAGAGAGAGAGAGAGAGAGAGAGAGAGAGAGAGAGAGAGAGAGAGAGAGAGAGAGAGAGAGCGTGTGTGTGTGTGCATCAAAGTTTGACTCGGTAGAGTGCTCCGCATTGTGGGGTAGAAAAAAAAAGGCTTCGGGAAAAAAAACAGGTGCGGGGTATATAGGGGGCATTAATTATAGGCGGGCACAGTACAAGCGCCACGCGGAGGGCGCCGAGTTCAAGTGCGCCATAGCCGAGGGGCACGCGGAGTACAGTTACTGGGTACGAGCTGGAGAGTTTGTGTCTCAATCAGAGGATCGACTAAACGAGAAGTTTCTTGTAGTGTAGTGAAACGGTGCCGAAGAGCTGCGTTGAAGCAGCCCAAAACTGAAAGTACAACAGTCACTGTAAGAAGTTTATTTTCTTTACAGACAAAATTAACTGACGCGGTGGTCGGGATTTTTTTTTTCTTTACGTGTATTCCTCCCCCCACCCCAGCCCCTACCCTCCAAACACAGGAAGAAAACCTCTCAAAAACGGCACGATAATTATTGAGGCGTCTGCCGACTAGGTAATGGGAAGAATGATATAATTTGAAGAAAAGAGCTCGTAGATTATAGTTTTATTTATTTATTGTTTTGTATGTGTTTTTGGGCGTGGTCTGTCTGAGTCCTGGAAGAGAAGAGGCGGAAGTCGATAGGCGAAAAAGAGGTCTAACTTCATCTCGATTGTAGTTGTTTTTTTTTGTTTTTTTTTAAATCAACCGAAAACCGCGTCTTTGAACGCGAGGCGAGATACTGTCTGATATTGATGAGAGAGAACTATCACAGCAATTTTAGAAAGACTCATTTTCAGTTTTTCACGTGGACCAATTTTTTTTATTACTCAATTAATTGCTATACAGTAAATGAAATCACTCACCTAATCACTATCTTGCCTGGCAATAACAAACCCCTGTTTTCTGCCCACGGGGCTGCCCTTGTGACAGTGTGTGAGGCAGTGACCGACCAGGTGGGCGTTCACATGCGTGTCATCGCCCCCCCCCTCCCCCCGGGCCCACCGTTGCGCCCGTAGGGACAAGGCGAGACGGCAGACAGACTGTATTTTTCGGGTGGAATTACACATACATACACACACACACACACGCGCGCGCGCGCGCGAGTCGCGCGAGTCGCAGCTGATCCGCGGGTGTGACGTATTTACAGGTATAAATTAAAAGAGAAAAAAAAGGAGGGGTTACCATTTCATCAGTCCGCTAGTCACACACAATCCACCATCTGGTCTACCGTGAAATCGAATAGCTTGCTACACTGTTACATATATACAGCGGGAAAAAGCGCGGCGTTTTTGCAGATGTGTAGACCTGTATAATTACATGGGTTTCTGGATGCTATGTTATATATACCCAACAGCCGTGAGTAAAGTATTTTTAACAATACTCTGCTATAAACTTGTGGTCTTCATAACGTTGCGAAGCACATTGGCTGCTTCTGTAGTAATACATACGCATTTTGATTCTCAATACAAAGCATTTCCTTTCCAGACTCACGAACAATTTTCTGAATGTGATTGTAAGACGAGAAGAAAATGCTTCTTATTACAAAGAATTTACTTTTGCATTGCAGAGCGGCAAAATGATTCGTGCATACTACACCTTACAAACTATTGGACTTATAACTCAAACAAGTTCTGCTTCGCAAGGTTTCAACAGTACAGTACAGGTAGGGTGATTTTACTACTGTGTGACTAAAAACCACTATTCTTAGATACGAACCTAATTAGAGAGCAATATTTTAAAATTGACCCCCTCCCCCCACCGAGGTTGAAAATTTAAAAAAAAAATTCTAGAAAATCTCCGGAAAATAATCCTTCCAAAGCGTCTTATGTTTTTCCAGAAATTTTCCGGGAGCTTTCCAGGGGTTCCAACCCTACCACCCAACCCACCCCCCTGAGATTGTCGTACTTTCCGTCCCGCCCCCTGCTTGGCGCCAGCGCCCCCGCGAGTCAACGCGCCCTGCTGCTCCCGCGCGTAGCTGTTTCGATAAGCCTTAGCTTTGTGGGCATCGCGATGGGGTTCAACGCCTTCCTCGCGGAAGGGGGGGTGATGTGCTCGACGCGCTGCCTGCCCACAGGCGGCCCTACGGCAGCGGCCTACGCCGGCCCGGTCGCGTAGCGCCGCGGCGCGCGGTCGCTGTCCCCGCGGGCCGCGGCGGCGCGCGGCGCTCTCCGCGGAGCTCTCCGCGAGCGACGACCTCGCCGACCCCACCGCACCCGCTCCAGATCCCGCCCCGCCCCGCCCCCGCCGCGGCGCGTGCACAGGGAACGCCCTTGTGTGCCCCGCCCCGCCCCGGTAGCTTCGGCAGCATCACGACGACATAAGAATGGGTAGTACTGTCCTGTAGGGATCAGTGCAACCCGTCCCTCCGGTAGCGCACCGGCCTGCAGCTCGCGCTTAAGTGCGACCAAAGTGTGTGTGAGTGTGTGTGCGTGACGAGTGCGGTACAACAGTGCGGACGACGCCGTCCTCTCACAAACGGATACCATGGATACCCACTCGCTGCGGATGCTCCTGCTGGCCGTGGCGGTGGTGCTCGCCGTGCTCCAGGCCGACCGCGCCGACGCGTTCGAGAGCGGTGAGTGGACCGGCCCGGCCCGGTGGCCCGGCCAAGCACCTTAACAACCGGTTCACCAGAAAATGACGTCGCTAATTTAGAAACGATAATCAATGAATAGTGCAACGTGATCACGTCAACGCCCGCCAACGACGATCTGTTTCCGTTGTAACGTAACGTTCATAGCACTTGTGCAACTGTTTCAGTGTCTCCGTATTTTCATTTTTAAAAAATTTCATTCTTTTCTTTTTTTTTAAGTACGACGTGTCCTTATTATTATTGTTTAATAATATTATTTAAAACTAACTTGCTTTAGAAACTTCAGTGAAGTATTCAGAACTACAAAACAAATGTATTCACGTACGCAATATTTTAGATCTACCGCAAAAACCGAGACCACATTGCGTAAAGAAATAAAAAAAGAAAGAAACGAGTCGAACCGACCGACAAGACCGCCAACCTGGTTTACTCCTGGCCTCCTCTGATTCCTGGCAGAGATTTGGACGCACGATGTGGCGTCCCTCTCTGTCTCTCGGTATCTGTCTCTGTCTCTTTCTCTGTCTTTCTCGCTGTCTGTCTATGTCTCTCTGTCTCTGCCTCTGTATCTGTCTATGTCTCTTTGTATCTATCTCTGCTCTGTCTATGTCTCTTTGTATCCATCTCTGCTCTGTCTATGTCTCTTTGTATCTATCTCTGCTCTCTCTATGTCTCTTTGTATCTATCTCTGCTCTGTCTCTGTCACTGTCTCTGCCTCTGCCATTGTCGCTGTATCTGTCACTGTCTCTGTATCTATATCTGTGTCTGTCTGTGTTTGTCTCTGTCTGTCTCTCACTGTCTCTCTAGCTCTCTGTCTCCGTCTGTGTTCGTCTCTCCCTCTGTCTCTCTGTCTCCGCCCCCCCCCCTCTCGCCTCTGACCACCCTCACTCGCTCTCTCTCTGTCTCTCTCTCGCTCACCTGCAGTAGCGGACGTGCCCTGCGGCTACCAGTGGGGTCGCGGGGGCGGCGGCGCCCGCGGGGCGCGGAGGATCGGCGGCGGGGCGGCGCTCCGGATCGCGGCCGTGGCGTTGACGGCGTCCCCGCGGATCGTCGGCGGCCAGACGGCCCTCCGGGGCGAGTACCCGTGGCTCGTGTCCATCACTAAGGGCGGCGGACACTTCTGCGGGGGCACCCTCCTCAACAAGCGCTGGGTCCTCACTGCGGCGCACTGCCTCTGCAGGTAAGCGGCATCATTTAAATACAGTCAGTTGCCCATATTTCGGACGAAATTCGTCGTATTTTCTTGATAACTCCTGACTTATTAGAGATACGAAATTGGGCTCGGGAATGAAGAAACTAGACCCTCGGCCCTACCTTTTCCCGTAGTGCAAACTTTTATACCTGAATTTGTTTGTCTGCAAGAGCCCGAAATGTTCTGTCCGAAATTAGGACTCATGTCCGAAATATGGGCAACTGACTGTACAAGGATTAGAAGCCTTGTAAAGTTTCAGGAATATTGCAGGAAGGTTTCCAAAAAAGAAAAAAAAAAAACAGAAAATTTCTGGGAAAACACGAAAAAAAATTCCGACTTTGGAAGTTTTCCGTGTTATTTTCCGAAATTTTTCGGTAATTTTTCGTAATATTTTGGGAATTTCCAACTCTGTTAAATACCCTATTTATGGGTCCTCCAGAAAGTACGTCCGTTTTCTTGAAACACAGATTCATTGGCCAAATTACAGAAGCTCTGCGCCTGTGAGAGTCCGGGTAGGCTACCCCGCTGTAGACACATGTACCGCAGGCAAGATGTTGCCTACCCAACAGGCGCTATGAGAGCTTTGCACAGGTGGAACTCGGCAATTTCATAAAACGGCGAATGACGGACGTACTTT